GAATTCTGGGAGTTGAAGTCCACACGTCTTCAAGTTGCCAAGGTTGAGAAACACTGCTCTATGGCATGGAGTCACAGGGCAAAGTTACCATTATGCTTTAATGGTAAGCTGCCCAGAGTCACGAATATGAGATGGGTGGCTATATAAATCGAATAAATAAATACATAAATAAAAACATCTATGGTTTACTAAGGATTGGCAATAATCAGCTGCCTTGGAAAGGTTAATATGGCCTTTGGATGTAAGAAAAAAAAAGGGGGGAATTTTCTGAAATGGCCTACGGTGGACATCATTTTCTCTACTGAGTTCGTATCAATTCTCTCACAGCCTTGGTAACATTTTGAGATAACACATCCATTAGCTAACTTTTAAAAATATATATTAGCAGCTAAGAGTGCATGTCTACATTTTATAAAAACAACCGGTCTCTGAGCTGCTTGAAAATATAATGGTACTATAGCTAATTGTAATATATTGTTGTTTCAATTGTTTTATTCTGGAATGAATAATAAATAAAATTACTAGTACTACAACACTGAAGAGGAATGGGTAAAGAGACTGCACCATTTCCCCTGGTTTTCAGCTCAAAACTAATTATCTTTCCCAATGGTGAGATTTGGGTGGCCTTGTACAAGTTTGCATTGATCTACCTTACAAGTTCATGGTAAATATAAAAGATGGTAAATCAGATTTATCTCAAACTTCACAGAATAAATGGAAAACGTTGCCAGCAAAATGTACAGCATATCCTCAGCTTTTGACTAACACACTATATTCAATGCTTAGCAACTCACGCTTCCACAACACATAATGAAAAAGCACTGATGATCTGAATTCTTTAGTAGATCTCTTGAGCCTCAGGGGACCTCATTTGACCCCTAAGCTCTTAGTACGGTACACCATATTAGGTATCAAATGCAATTCTCCAGTGTTCTCAGAACTTAAGCATTTTTTCTTCTGAACCAGAGAATAGAGAGAGAGAAAAAATCACTGGAAAAAAAGAAGTCACGTTTTCTCCCTTTCAATCTCTGCAATGTTTCTGTTTGTTTGGAGTTCGCCTCCTACTTTCTTGCAGTCCTTAAAAAAAGATCTGAATCGATGGATTGTCTGAACTTTAGTTGATTAGTCAACTTGTTTTACAGTCCTTGGTAAGCAAGCACAATGCAACTCACACCTTAGATAAGCAAGGTGAAGACTGAAGCCTGGTGGAACAAATCAGTTCATTTCTATATGCAGAAGTAAGTCTTAGCCTAACAAAAAAGCCATTTGAGAACAGGATGCATACGGTCCAAGTTATTGATCTTACAGCCTTGACACCATTCTCATTGTTTTATTGTTGGAGGTGGCAGTGATGACTACAGCCAACAGAGTCACCTTCTGTTCAAACCTTTCCCCACTACCCTGGCCCTCTTTGGATGCTCCTATTTCCCAATTTGAAAAAGTCCCTTGGCAATAATTCCTTAGGGATGTCTACTTTTGGGGTTTAAAGGAAGCGTGAGAAGTTGCAGAGTGCTGGAGAGATGGCCAGAGATAGTACACTTACACACTTACCCAGCTGGGAGCTAAATAAATGCAAGAGAATCTTACTGTGTCAGAATTTCACTGAAATTCTCCTCTCCTTTGAAAGCCATTTATCCTTCAGCAAAATGAATGAGAATTGGGAGAGAAAAGCTGGCAGAATTTCTCTTGCACAGCTTTAATACGCATACCATCACTGTTACATGCTAAAGTTTAGACAGCCTTGGTCCACCTATGTTGCTATGAAGCTGAAAACTACTATATGGTACAAAATTATAGGGTACAAAATTAAGCACATATTTCTGCAACTTTAACGCACATTTACTATATATGAGCAGTTGCTTACAGATTCATAGTAAGAAAATAGGCACATAACAGGTGAAGCTTCAGTCAATTCTTTGTAGCCCCTCTTTTGGCTGAAATAAGAGTTTCCCAATGTTTCCTGTATCCAAATAAATCTTGTATGCACTTCAATCTTCATATCTGAGATCTTCCCACCAATTTTCAACAATATTAAAGTCTAGGGAGTGTGAAGGCCCTTCCAGTATCTTTATCCTTCCTTCCTGTGAATAGTTTACTGACAGCTTGGAGATACGTTTCAGACCACTGTCTTGCTGAAATAGCCAATTTATTTTCGGCCTCAATTTCTTCACTGGCTATGGGACATTAGTTTCTTTGATATTTTGATACTTAGTTGAATCCATTCTTCCTACCACCTGCACAATATTTCCTGTACCAGTGGGTGCCATACAACCCCCACATTTAATAGATCCACCTCTGTGTTTAACAGTTGGCAAGATATTGTTTGCTTCAATATTTTTTTTCCCCAAATGTACCCTGTGTGGTTCATCACTCAAAGACACTTTGTTCCAAAACATTTCAGGCTCACAGACATTCTCTGTTGCATACTTCAGATGATGACTTCTGCAATAAGGGTGGGAAAAGAGTTCCTTCTGACAATGCAGTCATGCAAATCTTTGTATAAGCAGTGCCGTACGGTGACTTGTGAATGACTATTCTAGTGTCAGCTAAGCTAAACATTTCAGCAGATACTTTGCAGTCATTTGTGGGTTCTGCTTTGCAGACTCAACCAGTTTTAGGACAAAGCTTCTTCCTTGGCCTTCTAGATCTTCCTTGACTGACTTCAAACAGTTCCACGTAACTTCTACTTCTTAAAACATTTCTCACAGTTGTCATTGCTAGCCAGAAGCATTTACAGCCTTTTTATAGCCTTCCCCTGCTTTGAAAGGGTGAATTTGAAAATGATTTTTTTTTTTCATTTTCAAATGCTGAGACAACCCATGTTTGGTGAGAGAAGAGAGACCTGCAAGCATAGCCTGAGAGATTAGAAAGACAGGGTTGTCTTTGGGACTTATTGATAATTTTACAGTAAAAAATAGCACTGAATCAACTGGAAAGTTGTTTAAACTTCTCTATCTGCCATATTTACCATTTGAATATTTTGCATCTGAAAACAACTGCACATCAAATCTGCAAAACGATGTTGGGTTTAACTTTGTACTGGGTAGAGACTGTATCAGCTTCTGTTCACTTAAGGATTCAGTGAAACATACAAGTTGACCAGAAGTGCCTAAACTTTAGTATGTACCTGTGTATTTTCGTTTTGTTGTTAAGGTATAACAGACACCATCTTCAAACAGGCATTCCACGCAGGGAGATTATTATATTCTCAAGGATGGAAAGACTCTGAAATACCCATAATGGAGGAATGGTGGGTGAAGATGACAGAATTTGCAGAGATGGCAAAATTGACTTGTTTGATTAGGGAAAAGACAATTTGTTAAGACTGGAAACCCTTTATGGACTTTTTGCTGAAAATGGAAAAAATGAACTTGTATGGGTTTGATGATTAGAAAGGGTAGAATATGGAAAGAAGGAAGCCATGATATAACAAGAGAGAGAGGATAAAATATAAATGCATTTATAACTGCCGTAAAGAAGATCAGAAGCTGTTCCTTTATCTCTCTCTTTTCTGTCCCTTTTTCTTTTCTTTCTTTCTTATTTACTTATCCCTTTTTTACTTTCCTTTTTCTTCAAACGTGTATTGTTTTTGTTTTGTAAAAAAAAACAAACCTTCAATAAAATTTAATTAAAAACACACACACAAACAAACAGGCATTCCACAATGATCTGGCCAGGGAAGAATGCCTCTTCTCAAAAAGTACCACCCACCTGTAGTTTTAGCAAGGATTCATACTGAAAACCCTTTACATCTTTAAAAGTTACCTGCTGGCCTCTTAATTGCAGTTAGGTTTGGAGGTGACCAAAAAGGTTTTTAATCAGCGAACACACTTTGCTGGCTGCACACGGTGTCCCTAATTAGAAGCGATATATTTTCTTCTAACAAGTACCTATTCATGTGACACAGCACAGTTATATAAAGAGTACAGTAAGTTGGGGGAGGAAAAAAGAAGATATGAAGCCCTAGTT